GTTCAAGGCGAGGACTTTAGCCACTAGGCCCCTGCACCAGGCCCAAATACTTTTTTTTTTTTCCCAAAGACTGACTTTTGAACACACGCTACGAGCCAGGCAGCGTGTTAGGTACTGGCTATGCAGCACTAAGACAGACGTGACCAAGACAGCAGTGAGGTCTGCCCTTGGAATTTGGATCTGGCCTTAGAGAGGACATAAAACAAACACATCACAAGTACGCAGAAACACACATCATTGTAAATCATTATAAGGCTGTCACAAAACAGAACAGGAAGAGAGGAAAGAGGATAACGGCCCGGGGGACTTAGCCTGAGCTGCCTGGCAAGGCCTGCTACTGAAAGTGAGACATGCAGGTACGGACATCATCTGCTGAGCCATGGAGGTAAGCGTGCTGCAGGTAGAAGACATGGCGAAGGGGAAGGGCTGGGGCGCAAATGGCAGGGACATATCCAGGAGCTGTTGGAAGGCCTACAGAGCTGGAGCACAGCAACCCAGAGCAACGCCGTGGCCAGGAAGGTGAAGAGGAAGGCAAATAAGTGGGGGGTATTCTAGGCCTCAGCAAGCTGGGAAATTTTTATCTTATGAGCAACAGGAAAGTATTAATGGCTGCTTTTTTAAAAAAAGATTTATTTATTTATTGGAAAGTCAGATATACAGAGAGAAGGAGGGGAGACAGAGAGGAAGATCTTCTGTCCAATGATTCACTCCCCAAGTGAGTGCAACGGCCGAAGCTATGCCGATCCAAAGCCAGGATCCAGGAACTTCTTCCAGATCTCCCACATGGGTGCAGGGTCCCAAGGCTATGGGCCGTCCTCGACTGCTTTCCCAGGACACAAGCAGGGAGCTGGATGGGAAGTGGAGCTGCTGGGATGAGAACCGGTGCCCATAAGGGATACTGGCGCGTTCAAGGTGAGGACTTTAGCCGCTAGGCCACGCCGCCGAGCCCAATGGGCTGCTTTTAAATGTGGGTCAAACTGCAGAAGGTAGTGTAATCAGTTTAAAGCTAGAAAATATCAGAGGGGCCCAGCTCAATAGCCTAGTGGCTAAAGTCCTTGCCTTGCATGCACCAAGAGCCCATATAGGTTTGTATCCCAGCTGCTCCACTTCCCATACAATCCCTGTCTGTGTCCTGGGAAAGCAATTGAGGATGGCCCAAAGCCTTGGGACCATGCACCCATGTGGGAGACCTGGAAGAAGCTCCTGGCTCCTGGCTATAGTTCAGTTCAACTCAGTTTCCTGCCAGTGTGGACACTTGGGGAGTAACTCAGTGGATGGAAGATCTTTCTCTGTATACCCATGTCTCTGTAAAACTCTGATTTTCCAATAAAAATAAATAAATCTTAAAAAAAAGAAAACATCAGAGGGTATCAAGTAAGGGATAAGTGCAAGAGTACATCAAACATTTCATGCAAATGGAATTAAAAGTATGAGTTTATTTTGGTCCCAAAAATTGGGGGACTACAGAGTTTTGATTCATAATATGTGGAAAATGTGTATTATGAAAAATCTATGCATGCATCTGAAGATTACTTTTTTACTAAAATAAATTCATACCTAAAAACAACTTTTTCTGGGGCCGGTGCAGTGACTCAACAGGCTAATCAGCCACCTGCAAATCTGCCATTCCATTTGGGTACCGGTTCATGTCCTAGCTCATTCAATTTGGACTGCAAAAGGAGTGGAAGATGGCCCAAGTGCTTGGGCCCCTATACCCATGGAGGAGAACTAGAAGCTCCTGGCTCCTGGCTTTGGGTCAGCTCAGCTCCAGGCACTGTGACCATTTGGGGAGTGAATCAGCAGATGGAAGATCTTTCTCTCTGTGTCTCCTTTGCAATCTGACTTTGCAATAAACAATAGAATAAATCTTTTTTAAAAGCTAGTCTTTGAGTGAGCTGAGATGTTGAAGAACCGGTGAGGTGGACTTGGGGAGCCGCAGTGGGGAGATTTCAGGCAATGGCAACAGTGTATGCAACAACTATGAAACTTAGGAGACCAAGCACAGTCTAAGAATTCCAGCTTTGACTCAAGCAAGCATGGAATCTGGAAAAGCAGCTGCAGGCCAAGGGGGTGGCCAGATCCTGAAGGATCCAGTTCTATCATTTTCCAGGTTTGGAGCCAATGGGGACACATTGAAGCATCCTACATGCAGGGGTGATATGATCTCACTTCCTTTTCCGAAGACCCACACTGCCAACAATGTACAGAAGAGCGCAGAGAATGGGATTGAACCACGAAGGCTGTGGCACTACTGTAAGGCAGAAAGCATTCGGGCTTAGGCTGGCATCTTATCTACCATCATGTCTGAGCACTGTTTCGAGTCCCAGCTGCTCCACTTTTTGATCCAGCTTCCTGTCAATATGCCTGGGAAAGCAGCGGAAGACCGTCCGTTTCCTTGGACCCCTGCACCCATTTGGGAGATTCGGATGGAGATTCAGGTTCCTAGCTCCAGCCGCCCAGCCCTCACTGTTGGGATCATTTAGAGAATGAACCAACAGATGGGAGAGCTCTCTCTGTTTCTCACTTCCTCTGTCACTGTATTTTTGTCTTGTAATTAAATAAATCTTAAAAGGGCGGGAAAGAAGGAAAGAGAATGAAAGAAAGGATGCTGTCTTTTTCTTAAAAAGACTTATTTATTTTTCTTGAAAACGCAGAGTTACAGAGAGAGAACAGAGAGAGGGATCTTCCGTTTACTGATAAACTCTCCCAATGGCTGCAATGGACAGTTAGGGCAGTCTGAAGCCGAAAGTAGGAGCTTCCTCCATATCTCCCACATGGGTGCAAGGTTCCACGGACTTGGGCCATCTTCCACTGCTTTCCCAGGAATATTGACAGAGAGCTGGATCAGAAATGGTGCAGCCAGAACTCGAACCACTGCCCATATGCCGATCCCAAGGTGCTGTCTTAAGCGAGAGTAGTAGCAGCAGAAATGAAAAGGGCTACATAAATAGACCAGGAGCTATTCAAGTGGTCAAAATGACAGGACTTAGAGATTGCATGGAGGGTAGAGGAGCACGAAGAGCCAGGGCTGTTTCTCAGGAGTCTGCTCTCTCTGGGGTCATTCACCACGGTAAGATACGAAGGACAAACGGGGAGAAGGATGTTTTGAGTTAGGGAGAAGTTGAGGTTGTAGATGTCGCTGAAATATTTAGGTAGAGGTAATAGTTGAATGCATGGGTCAGGAGAAATACGTAGACTTGAAGTATTAGTGTAGGAATCATCAGCAAAGAGGTACTAACTAAAGCCTTGGGCGGGAATTAGACAAATGAAGGAAATAATGTAAAACAAAGAAAGTTCGAGCCCTAAAGAGCATCCACATTAAGAGCTCCTTCTTCCACCTGCAAAGGCTTGGGATCCCATACAGGCACAGGTTCATGTTCGGGGTACTCCACCTCCCACCCAGCTCCCTGCTTGTGGCCTGGGAAAGCAGTGGAGGATGGCCCAAAGCCTTGGCACCCTGCACCCACATGGGAGACCTGGAAGAAGCTCCTGGCTCATGGCTTCAGATCAGCTCAGCTGTGGTCATTGTGGTCACTTGGGGAGTGAACATGGAGAGATAGAAGGTCTCTCTCTCTATCTTTCCCTCTCTTTCTCTGTCTCTCTGTCCTTCTCTGTGTGAATCAAATTACAATAAATACATCCTTTAAAAGAAAAAGCTGGACAGAAGAGCCTGGAGAACCTGGAGAGGAAGAAGGAATTACCCAGGATGTGGGAGAAAAATACAAATGTTGAGGTGCAAAAGAGGCCAGTGGTGTCAAGCGCTACCCAAAGCCGCAGAGGATAAACTTGGAAGAGATGCTCTTGGATTTAGATGCACGGGGCCACAGTGGACTTCATCGAGAGCCATTTCAGACAAGTAGTGGAGGCTGAGTGAAGAGGGTTGACACGTAAGTGGGACGCGGCAAAACGAAGACGGTTCAGCGTAGGCAGCTGTTGTGGTATATATGTGGTATATGTGTAGGAAAGAGAGGGAGGTGATCGGAGAGGCAAATCTTGGCGGTCATTATTTGTTTTTAGACAAAAGAAACCCGACGATATTTAGATGGTGGTGGGAAGGGAAAGGAGCACGGTGGCAAGAAGTCCCAATGTCTTTGGTGGCTCCTGTTGACTGTGAAGTAGGAGGTGTCGGTCAGCCGCTATTAGCGGGCAGTTCGAGGAGTTGAGAGTTGGAGGGAAGGTTTGAAAGGGCCGCCTTGGCTTGCTCTTTGGGTTGGGGCGGGCACTGAGGGTCTGGCAGAAGGTAGGAAGCAAGGGCTTATAACGGCCCAGTTCCGCGGGGTTGAATGGCTTTCGCCAGCAGTGTTCAACTGGCTGGGCTGAGCATGGAAAAGGCAGGCAGGCAGGCTGGCGGTTGGACGGATCCAAGCTTGGGCTGTTGCCAGGCGGATGCGACAAGGCAGGAACTGAGGCTACCGCTAAGACAGTGACAAGGGCCGTGGAGTGTGGTGTGAGCAGAGTCGGAAAGGTGACTGCTCAGTGAGCGACGCCCGACGGGAAGCACTGGAACGTGGGAAGGGCTTGTGGAACAGGCATTGAAGGGCAAGAGCAGGGGAAGGCACCCGAACTGGGTCAGAAGGGCAAACTGCAGGGGTTCAGCCCGAAATTGGCCTGCGGGACCGGGAAGGGAGGGGGGAAGACGGCTTGATTGGGGCGGGGGGGGGTTCTTTAAAAAAAAGGAGGGCCTGGAGGGCGGTCGCAGCGAGGAGCGGGGCGGGGCCGCGAGAGGGGGCGTGGCCAAGCACAAATCCCGGGCGAGGGGGCGGGGCCCGGGAACTGGGTCCCAGCGCCGCTTTGGCTGCGGCTGCCTCGGCGACGGCTCCCGCCTCCCCAACCCCCCTTCCCAGGGCTGCTTCCCGCCTGCCGCCGCTGCCGGGACTGAGGCTGAGGCTGGGGAGGCCGGTGGAGCCCGGCCCAGGCCGTCCCCCACCCCCGGGGCTGCAGCATCGTCCGGGAGGATTGGCCCAAGGCGAGCCCCGAAGCCCAGGCGCGCGGCGCACACGCGCGCCCCCAGCCACCGCCATCCTCCCTTCCCTCCTCTTCCCTCCCCTGCCCTCCCCTCTCCTCCGCCCCCAGCCTCCGCTGCGGCGGGAGGAAGGACCGTTTCTGACCAGCCTGGAGAGTCTAGATCGATTCCCATTCGGGGAGAAAGAAGAGATCCCGCACTCGGATCGGACACACCGCTCGCCCCCCGGGCCACGGAAGTGGCTCGCAGCGGACGGCGGAGCCCACGCCGAGCGCAGCCCCCCGACCCTCGGCCAGCCGCAGCCGCAATAGACAGCGCTCCCCAGCGGGCCCCCGGCCCCGGCGAGCCCACTCCCCGAGCGCAGCCGGGGCCGGCGATGCCTGGCACGGCAGCGGCGGTGGCCGCGCCTGCTGCCGCTGCCCCTGCCACCGCTGCCACGGCTGCTGGCCCGGGCCCGGGCTGGGGGCTCGAGGCTCCGCAGTGGGGCTGAGCCCGCAGCCCCGCCCCCCGAGCCTGAGGCCGCTGCTCCGCCGGGCGCCGGGCCTCCTCCGCCCGCGCCTCCGCCCCAGGAGCTGGAGCCAAGCGGGGAGCCCGGGCCCCGCGCCCAGGCCCGGACCATGCACGGCCACCGAGCTCCGGGGGGTGCCGGGCCTTCGGAGCCCGAACACCCGGCTGCGAACCCCCCCGGCGCCGCTCCGCCGGCCTCTGCCGACTCGGACCCTGGAGCCTCAGAACCTGGACAACCGCTGCGGAGGGGCTCGGGCTCCGCTGGCGGCGGCCCCCTGGATCCCCAGTTGCCCGGACCCTCGGACGCCAGCTTGGCTGCGGTTCCAGGCCCTCGGGTCTTGCCCTGCGGCCCCAGCCCCCAGCACCACCGGGCCTTGCGCTTCTCTTACCACCTGGAGGGCTCGCAGCGTCGGCCTGGTGAGTGATCTCGAGAGCATGGGAGCCCGGGCCAGGGGCCTGGTACTTGGAGCGGGTTCTTGTTCCCGGGGCCCTCTAAGCTCCACCTCGGGGCCGGCCTGCTCATCCTGGTCCTTCGGATGCCCTCCGCCTCCTGCCCTTGGCCTGGGACCTTCCGATCCGTCCTTTCAACCTCTGCCTCCGGTCTCCCTTCTCTGTACCCTGTGCCCTCAACCCCTCTAACCCGACCCCCCCCCTTCTTCTGTCTCTGAGTCTGATGGGAGAAAGAAAACTCCAACTAAAAGAGCAGGGTTGTAAAGTAGCAGCACAAATTTGGCTGGGGAGACGCCTGTCTACTTGGGGATTTCGGGTTTAACTGGGGGAGTAGCAGAAAAGGAGCAGTCTCTCGTGAGCCCAGCACCTGTGCAAAGCCCAGGGCTGCATGTTTTATTTGGGTTCTTGTTTCTGCTTCAGAAGCTCTCTGTGAAGTGGGGATCATTACCCTCATTTTGTTGGGATGGAAACTGAGGCTCAGAGGAGTTGAGTAAGTTGCCTGAGGTCACACAGCTTCGTGCGGACTCCAAAGCAGATCTGTTTAAGTCCAAAGTCTGTGGTCTTTCCACCTCTCCAAACTGAGGCTGGAGACCATGAGAATAATGCCAAGCCTTCTGCTTCTGTGATTTTCTGCTGTTACTGTTCAAGCAGCCCTGGAGTATGAGTGGGAAAAAAAAAAAAGGCTGGTGGATTGATCCAAGGTTGGGGTTTTGCCAGGTGTGTGTGGCGGGAGGACAAGGGAAGGGAGGAGGAGCAGGTATTGAGGAGGGAGAAAGATGGAAGGGAGGAGGTTGAGGGAAGCAAGCTGGAGGGGCAGTTAGGCAGGGAGACCACAGGGAGGGCAGCAGGGGCAGAGCCAGTTGCAGCCACACTGCGGGATTGTTTGTGAGGAAGAAATCCGGAGGGTGTTTGGGGTTTGTAGAGGCAGAGCAGCCCTAGGAGAGGCTGAGGCCCACAAACCCCTGCCAGGGGAGTCTTTTATGTTGCATAAACCTGAGTGTGAGGCCCAGCGGAGTTCTGCAGCTGCAGCAGGAGCCCAGTCCCAGGATGGCAGCAGCGCCTGCCTGCCAGCCTGCCCTGCCTTCCCTGGGGACAGAAGGAGTTGTAGAGCCTCCTCAGCAGGTCCCTGCAAATGTGGCCCAGCAGCAGGTAGCAAGCAGCGGCCAGCCAGAAAGGATGTGTCCGTCTTGGTTGCCAGACATGACCTTGAGTTAGTCCTGGAGCCTCTGGGAGATTTCAGGGGACTCTCCACATGGGCCAGAGCTAATCACCTAACAACCAGTTTCCAGTGAGTGAGTTTCTAAACTCTCCTTGTCAGTTGGGGGAGGGGCGGGTGGAAGCGGGCTCCTCGCTGGCTCTCCTGCATCACCTTCTCCCTGATTTCAACACATGGCGCCAGCACTGCCACCCCAGGGCCTTTGCATTTGCTCTTCTCTCTGCCGCCCAGCCCTCCACCTAGCTTGCTCCTCATCTTTCAGGTCCCAGCTCAGATATCACCTCCTTCAAGAGCCCTTCCCTAGCCACTTTAGGTAGGCCCACTTGGGAGCCTCGTCACAGCTGCCAGCCTGCTCCCACACTTGTACTCACAAGTCGCCTTAACCGTGTGCATCCTCATGCTGATTGGCCCTCTCCCTCTGCTAGGAGGTGAGCATCCATGAGGTCAAGGGCATGCTGGTTTCTTCACTGCTGGATCCCTGCTGAATATACCAGGCTGGGCTCACACGCAGTAGGGGCACAGTAAATCCAGGCTCAACAAATGGCTGAACAGATAGGAAGTGAGCACATAGTAGGCTCTGAGGAGCTCTGACCTGACTTCCTGCCCTCCACATTCTCTTGGTCTGGAACTCAGTGGCTGAGTGTCTGGTCCCCTGCTCTGGCCTGTCCGACCCGTATGCTGTGATGGTTAGGATGCCTTCCCACTGCACCAACCCTTTCCAAGTTACAAAGTGCAGTTGCTTAAGTCCCTCTCCTGTTCTAACCCCAGCACCTCTCTCCCCCCCTCCAAAAAAATAGCAGCACACAATTCCCAGGAACCTTGCCCCCACTCAAGTCCTTGCCTCTGCAACTTCCTGGATTTGGGGGTGTGTGTCTCTTTTGCTTCTCAATTCAAGATGTGGATTAGGAATTAGAAACAGCCTGGTCTGTTTAAACCGTCAGCAATTGGACATTTTTTAAGATTTAATTATTTATTTTTTATTGGAAAGTCAGATTTACAAAGAGGAGAAGACAGAGAGGAAGATCTTCCATCCGATGATTCACTCCCCAAGTGGCCCCAACGGCCAGAACTGAGCTGATCCAAAGCCAGGAGCCAGGAGCCTCTTCTGGGTCCCAAAGCTTTGGGCCGTCCTCAACTGCTTTCCCAGGCCACAAGCAGGGAGCTGGATAGGAAACAGTGCCGCTGGGGTTAGGCTTGGCACCCATATGGGATCCCAGTGTGTGCAAGGCAAGGACTTTAACCACTAGGTTACTGGGCTGGGCCCTTTTTTTTTAAAGTCAAATCACATCATAAGAGAGAAAAAGCTCCTGAAGAGGAGGCGGAAGAATTACTCAGACCCTGGTGAGGCGGGCACTGGGCCCTGTGATTCACGGCAGCATGGGTGGTGAGAGACCCGCCTCCCCCCACTACCCAGCTGGCCCAGGGCTAGGCGAAAGCCACTGACTTCTCTCTCTCTCCCCAGGACTCGCCTATAATTGGCCTGAAGAGGGCAGGGTTGGTGGTTGTAGGGTGTGTGTGTGTAAGAGAGAGAGAGAGAGAGATTCCTGAGCTTCAATTAAAGGGTTGAAACATTTTAGTCCACATGTTAAGATGTCTGTATGCCGCGCTGACTTCCTCCCTCAGAAGGGCCTTTTATTGACTCACCATCCTCAGGGCCCTGTGGCCCATCCTAGAGGAAGAGGCGGGGCGGGGAGGGGGGAGGCTCTGTAAATAAGTCTATCTTAGCCTTCTGAAACGCCTTGAAGTACTTCAGAGGCCGTTCCCTTTTTAGTGTCCCTGTTTCATTCCTGGAGAGAGGGAGCAGTTGTTAGTGTGCCCATTCTCCAGGTTGGTAAAACCTAAGGCCTCATGAATCACTGGGCATAACATATTAAGATACCAGAGAAGGCTTTGAGAGCTGGAAAGAAGGTCCCCAGTATGGATTTCCTCCCAGCGGTTTAGAATAGACTTATGCTATTGTTTGGGGTTGATGCCTAGATGGTGGTGGACACTAGCTGCGGGAGCTTGGGACCTGGCGTTAGCTCAAAGAGCTTGCACCTGATGTTGAAGCCTCCTTGTGGGTAGCGGGTGCAGGGAGGAACTGAACCAAACTAGGTGGTTGGTGGGTGGGGAGGTGCGAAAAGGGCTGGCCGCTTCTGATTTGGAGCCTGGAGCATTTCCAGAGAGCCCAAGGGTTGAAATGGGAGCTGGCAAGGTATCTACACACTGTTGGGTTCTGAGTGATTGTCACATTCCCTTGTTGGCCTGAAGAAGAATTTCAGGGTGCCCAGAGTCCACTTGCAAGCTGCAGCCCCTTGGGGATGGGACCTAGGCACCTGGTTTCCCAGATGATTCTGACTGCACAGTGTAGAATGGAGACTGTTGGTCAAGCCCATTTTCTGGTTGGGTTAGTAGAGGCTCAGACAGGCAGGAATGTGGCCATCGTTCTGCAGTGAGTCAGCATCCTTTGGAAGGATGGATAGGCTGCCTCCTGAGGCACACTCTCCCAAGCACACTATCTGGGCCTCCCCCAACTCTCAACCGCATGGGGAGGCCCAGGATCTAAAATAAAGGGATCAGCGAGTGACTCACCTCCTCGCCTCCATACACGTGGACCGGGACTGCGTCTGTTTACCCTCTGTGCCCAGCTCTCATGAATGGCTGCCACTTGGCAGTTGAGCTTGGAAGGCAGTTGTCATTCTAGAACTCGAAGCACAGGAAATCTTGGTATCAGCAGTGCCCAGCACAGTGCCTGGCCCAAGGGAAGGGTTCTAGGTGGCAGGGGGAGAGATGGTCAAGCAAGAGAAGAATGTGGGGGGCAGTTCAGGAGTGTGGTTTAGTGAGTTAAAGGAGCTGAGCCACGAGGCATCAGTGAATGGGGCTGGCATCGGGAGGAGTGGAGCCATGAGACTGGCAGAGGAAATTCCCCCCAGTGTGAAGAGGGACTGCTGAAGGGTTTGGGGGGGGGGCAGTGATGGAATGTCCTCCACATGCTCCCAGGACCCAGGCATTTTCGAGCCTCCTGGCGAGAATGGATGGAAAGGGTGCCAGAGTGGTGACAGTGGCAGGGAGACAGACAGGTGGGTGTTACAGTCAGCCCAGTGACAGATGACAGAGCTCATGGTGGCAGGCGAGGAAATAAGGCCTCAGAGATATTTTGGGCGTTAACATGAACAGGCTTAGTGTGACTTGGGAGGTAGAGGCCAAGGAAGAGGGAAAAAAAGTCCAAGGCAAGGTGATTCTTCTGTATATGTGTGTTGTGTGTGTTTTACGATTTATTTCTTTTTATTTGAAAGGCAGATTTTACAGAGAGGAGAGACAGAGGGAAAGGTTTTCCATTCATTGGTTCACTCCCCAAATGGCCACAGTAGCCAGAACTGAGCCCATTTGAAGCCAGGAGTCAGGAGATTCTTCTTGATCTCCCACATGTGTGTGGGGTTCCAAGGACCTGGGTCATCCTCTACTGCTTTCCCAGACCACAAGCAGAGAGCTGAATTTGAAGTGGAATAGCTGGGACATGAATCGGCACCCATATGGGATGCTAACGCCACAGGGTAAAGGATTAGCCTGTTGTATCACCCCAGTGGTCCCCAATGTCCCCCATCCCACCCCCCAAATTTTAATGACAGTGACCTGGTGAATAATGGCTGGGCTACCTACATACTAGAGAAGCAGCAGGCTTAGGGAAAGATAATGAATTGTGTTTGAGAGACCTAGGAGGACATCCAGGTGGAGACAGCCTGGGTCAGCATCAAATAGCGCGCAGCGCACA